AGTCATATAATGGAGGTCCATGGTCACCACCTCAAAGAGCATGCGCAGAGAAGTCCAGATTAAACATGATTTAATGACTCGTAAATGTAAGTACACATTGATGGCCTAAGACATGAAACGAGCGGTTTGTGTGAGAAAACAAACAGTATTTTTAATCGTTTTTTACCTCTTGTAACCACAGCCACAAAGCGCCCTCGCCCTCTTGTGGTTTCAAGAGGTAAAAACGATATAAATACTGTTGGTTTTCTCACACAAACCGCTCGTTTCGTTTCTTAGGCCATCAATGTGTACTTACATTTACGAGTCATTAAATCATGTTTAATTTGGACTTCTCTGCGCATGCTCTTTGAGGTGGTGACCATAGACCTCCATTATATGACTGACAGACAAGAACGGTTTGACCTAAAAATATCAAAATTGGAACTACTTGGATCTTGGATGCCCTTGAGGTAAGCTAAAACATACCAAAAATTAATTTCAAAGTGAACTATCCCTTTAAACATTCCATAACAAGGCCACGGTTATTACATTTATATAAAGTCTTCCTGTAGAATCCAGCATGGCCTACACAACAGTAAGATGAACCTCAGACTAGCAGTCATTCTGTGGGCAGTGAGTGCAAATCGAAGCCAGCGCTTCAGACACGCTAGTATTTATTAGCTGTCATGATGGTCGAGCATTCTCCAGTCCCATGCAGTGAAAGATAGCCGGCCCATGTGTGGACGTCCATCACCTCAAATAGACCACGCTCCCTCTGCTGCCACCCTGGACTCCCCCTACAGCGAAAGAGTCCGGTTGTCCTATTATAGCCTTGCCTGCTCGCTCTGGAATAAGAGGTTGAGTGGACATGAGAGCCTTTTGGAAACGGTGAGACCGGGTTGCTAAGGATAGAGACTCGTCTGCCCTCTCTTTGTGACCTTCCTCCCCGTGAGGTTCACATTAGCAGATGGTAAAAGGGAAATACACTATACAGTCTTCTGAGTCTTACAGCTCAAATATTTTACACATTTTTATTGATTATCTGTGATATCTCAAGTTAGAACGTTTGCAGCTCGTTAAATGCAAATTTACTTTCGTTTAAACATAGGCAGATGTCAAAAACACACAAAAATAAATGGTAACACCTTTTACAATAAGGTTGCATGTTAATTACAGCACAGTCTCATCCCAAGGCGTCATCTAACTGACGCTTTTGACCATACGTCAACATCCGACGATTCAGGGTACCCTTTAACGTCAGTTAGATGACAAAAGGCCAATTTATACTCCTGCGAGGGTACGGCGTAGGCTACACCGTCATCAGTGTTGGGTGTAACTAATTACTAAGTAATTAGTTACTGTAATTTAATTACTTTTCCCTTGAAAATGTAAAGTAAGGGATTACTCTTCATTTATCTGTAATTTAATTACAGTTACTTCTGATGTAATTTAGGTAAATACTGTGTATAGATCAATCCGATCTCACAGCGATTCGTATGCATTTTATGAGGTGTCTAAATCACACGACCGCACTCGTACAAATTTGTATGAATTATTGTAAAATATGTATGAAAAAAGTGTGAAATGTCATGAGATCAGACATAAAACAATAGTGGGTTTAACATCAAAATGTATTGTCTGATGTTAAAAAGTATGTTTTTATAATGTAACCTTCTCCACCTTGGTCAGTTTAAGGATAATTCATGCAATTTTATAGTATTTATTTGAAAGAATTAAAACAGATTCATGTCTATCCTTGTATTATCCAGCTGGTTGAGATTGATATGGGATTTTGAAAGCAATTAGTAATTAAAAGTAATTAAATACTTTTTAGAGAGAGTAATTAGTACTGTATTCTAATTACACTGTTGAAGAGGTAATTAGTAACTAGTAATTAATTACTTTTTTAGAGTAACTTACTCAACACTGCCCGTTGTGAGCATTTATACTTCTGCGTTCAGGTCTTGGTTGCTCTGCAGTACTGCTCCGAAACGCTAGTTGGCGACGGAGGGTTTTAATGTTCCACTGTGTTTAGATTCCTCGCGGCTAGGCATAGACATATACACTAGACGTCACCTTGGATACGGCAGTTCATTGGAACGAATGCGTCAATAGAGCCGCCATCTTGAAACAGGGGAGCCCCTCCACTTTAATGCATCAGCGTCAATGTAGTAAACACAGGTCTAACGGAAATAAAATCACCATAACTCATCATGAATGCGATTTTTCTTGTTTTTTTGGTTTGTTCCAACGGTCAGACATGTATTTATCAGTGATTCCAGAAAGAAAAAAAAATATATATTTTTTTTAAAAACATTCTTCCTAGTTCAGATTTCATCCGTGAACATCACACGCTGCACAAAAGTCCGCCACCATCAATGAATTCGAAGTAAAGGCAGAGATAGCAGCGTTACCTAGCTACTTCCTATGACAAGACCCCTGTTCCAAGATGGCGGCGGTTTTGACGCATGCTTAGCCCCAAGGTGAGGTCTAGTGTATATGTCTATGGCGGCTAGGTTACTACGAGCAATGGCGACTGAAAGAGAGCGGATCATGTTGGAGTTGGAGCTTATTGAGGTGGAAAAACAGTTAATTTTAGTGAAATTACTAAAACTAAAAGGCAGAAATGAGAGAAGACGTCGGAGGAGATGGTACGTGCGGAAATGCGTAGGAGGAAATGCGACGCTACCAAGCCGACCGATCACAGATCTTGCGGTCCGCGTCGTCGCGACGTTTAGTTACATTTTTTAGGAGGTGCGCGTCAGGCTACGGCGAATTGTACGCGGTATGGTACGCGTCTGTGCGTATGCTACGCCGTACCTACTGCGCGCACCCTACGCAGAAGTATAAATTGGCCTTAAAGGGATACTCCACTTTTTTGGAAATAGGCTTATTTTACAACTCCCTCAGAGTTAAACGGTTGAGTTTTACTGTTTTCAGATGTATTCAGTCGATTTTCTGATATTTAGAAGAACATCAGTAACCAGACAGTTTCTGGTGTCATTGACTTCCATAGTAGGAAAAATATATACTATGGAAGTCAATGAGACCAGAAACTGTCTGGTTACTGATGTTCTTCTAAATATCAGAAAATTGGCTGAATGCATTCGAAAACGGTAAAACCCATCTGTTTAACTCTGGGGGAGTTGTAAAATGAGCCTATTTCCAAAAAAAGTGGAGTATCCCTTTAACTGACGCTTTACCTTTAGCGTCAGCTAGATAGATGATGTGGGTCTGCAAACTTACCCGCGTCATCTACTGTAACTAGCATTTAATAATACATTATTTAAATCAAAAGTTGCATCTGTTAATATTATTTATTGGACCTGAGCTTACATGAACTTACAATGAACAGTTGAATTTTTAGGTAACACTTTACTTGAAGGCGTGTGCATAAGACTGACATGACACCTTCATAACCATGACATGACATATTATGTATATGAAGTAGGGTTTATGCATGTTTGTGACAACTGTCACTCAGTTATGACATTTTGAATGCAAATATGACATTGTTTGACAACCAATACATCATAACCTGTCATGACAACTTGACATAAAGTGAAGTTAATCTGTCATGTGTTTGGCTTTGACATGTTAACCAATAAAGGTGGTTACTTAAGTTTGATCATTAATCTGGTTTATGACAGGTCGTGTTAGTATTGTCAAGTTGTCATGACAAAGACACTGACAGGTTATGATGTATTGGTTCATGTCAAGTTGTCAAACGATGTCATACTTGCATTCAAAATGTCATAACTGAGTGACAGTTGTCACAAACATGCATAAAACTTCCTTCATATTAATAACACGTCATGTCATGATTATGAAGGACACCGTATGCACACCCCTTCAAGTAAAGTGTTACCAATTTGTATTTATCACCAATTTTGTCCTCTGTCGCTTTAAATGCTTGCGCTCTGATGGATTCTGATTGGTTGTCAACGCTTTTATCATTTATCAGCTGGAATAAATTGCTTCAAAAGTGATTCCTCTGTGTTGTTACCAATATAGTTGTCGTGTGGACTGATATTAACCCTCAAACTGTATTCATTTTATAGCCCTGGACAAATGTGGGCACAGAGGACTCAGACAAATGTGATATAACATTTATAATACATAAAAATTAGGATCACACCTATCCATTTATGGTGTTTTTTTTTTTTAATTTTGGGGGTATTTTGGAATTTATATACTTAAAAAAGTACCATATTTTCTATGTAATTTATGCTTATTTTTATGTTTAATTTTTTTTTTTTTTTAACTACATTAAAATATCATTCCAATACGTTCTTGGAGCTAAAATCTAAAGATGAAGTGACTTTGCTGTCACCTGCTGTCTTATTTATTATATTAAATTAACCAAAAAAACAATAATATCAATAGCCACTATATGGCTATAGTACTTAAAACAATATATTTATAGTTATCGTTGCCTTTACACTGCTAAAACTTTGAAAAGCACTATCAATATTCGTGAGAGTCAGGCCTGGTTCAGTGGAGAAGCAGGCGTGTGACAGATAAGCTGAGATATGAAAGGTGTGCCAGAAAGAAAGACAGACAGGCGATTACAGTATGAAATACAGGCGGCTTCAAATAGAGACACTTAAATATCTCTCTATGACACTGTGTAGGTGTGAAGAGCATACCCAAATAAACACATTTACATAATGAAGCATTAAGACAGAGCCTAAGCTAATTTGTTTTCCTCTTTCAGTCTGAACGGGTCGGGGAGGCAGAAGTACTAGAGAGACAACTGTGGGAAGTCTGTCATGGTAATCCATTAGACGCTCGGCTCGTCCCACACTTTGAGTTTGGTGACACTGCTGTGGGGTGATGCAAGGTGCTATATTTACCTCCCCTGTTTGTGTGAAAAACGACCCAGCCACCGTACAACAACATCCCATGTGTCCAGAGCTGCTGTGTTAATGTGAACTGTTGTTGTCTCTGTAGGATCGGAGAGGTTAGGTCTTCAAGCTACCGCTACCAAAATAGCAGATGACCATTTCTATTTCATCTGTCGCCCACTCGACACCAAACGGTCACTCAGATATGTGCGCTCACTGACTTCTTCCTGTGTTACAGCTCTGGCCTCGCCGGCAACTGTTTCGGTAGGGTGTGTTCGACTCCTTCAAGTGCTTTCTGAAACATGGATTTCTACCGTGAGCTTCCGGTTGTGTTCAGTGAAGAGCATTTTCATAGTCTTCTTTTATGGAGTAACAGAGAAGTCTGATTTCACTCGAAATTTACCTTTAAGGATTTGTCCAAGGACGAAATACAGAAAAATACAGAAGGTAAGGGATAAACTTAAACAGGCCATTACCGTCAAAGTTCAACACATTCCTGACAGAAGCTCTGTTTGAAATTTTGGTCCCACTTTATATTAAGTGGCTTGCATTGAAAAAATAAGTACAATGTACTTGTGCTCATTTTGTATTGTAAAACACTTTTTGCTGCTATTGAGGTGTGATCTGGGTAAGGTTAGGGACAGGTATGGTGGTATGGGTAGGTTAAAGTGTAAGGGATGGGTCAGCTGTGTAATTACAGATGTAATTACATAAATTAGTTACAGCTGTAATTACATGCTGGTATTTTAAAAATATACACTCTAAAAAATGCTGGGTTGTTTTAACCCAATTTTGGGTCAAATATGGACAAACCCAAAATGTTGGGTTAAAAATGTAATGTAAAAATTTAACCCAACGGCTGGGTTAGTCCATATTTGACCCAAAGTTGGGTTAAAACAACCCAGCATTTTTTAGAGTGTAAGTACAATGTAAAAACATGTATGTACACAATAAGTCCATTGTATCAAATTATTTGTTTCAATAGTACTTAAAGCCACTTAAAGCCAAAATTTTCTTAAGGTAACTTATATTTTCCTTTCAATAATAAATAAAAAGCTAAGATCTATTGAGCGCAACTGCTCTTTTGTACATATTTTATGATAACTTTCCTTGAGGTTAGTCAGGGCGTTATCACTGTACTGTAGATCTTCTTTCACATAAATAAAGTAACAGATGTGGGGAAATTACCCCGAGTGCAAGTTGATACAGAATTATGGGCGGTGGAAAAATGTCGTGCGGTCCAAAACTTCCTGGCCACTAAGTGCACGCCTTTAAATGCTCATAAATATATCTCGAGATTTGTCCTTGCATGATCAGCTTTCTGAGATGACACACAGAAATGTGTAAAAATGCTCTATATTGGGAAACACTTTACTTGAAGGGGTTTAACTTAAAAAATTAAGTAAGCTGGTTCATCAGTTAATACAATGAAGGAGATTGATTTAATCTTCAGAAACTCAAGATATTATGTTTTCTGAACCACTTTAATTATTTAAGTTGATTTAACAAACGAAAAAATGTTGTGATTACAAATCATGAACATATTTTTTTTACAGTGTAAGACTGACATGACACACATCATGAATACAGTATGAAGGAGGTTGTTTACGACAACTGTCATTAAGTGTCATTCGCTCAATTATGAATTTTTGCGGTTTTAAAAGACATTGCTTGAGATGTTTTTGCCATAAACCAATACATCATAACCCGTCAGTGTCTTTGTCATGACAAGTTGACATTACTAAGACAATAAAACCTATCGTAAACATTATATAGCAGATTAATTATCAAACTTAAGAAATCACCTAGGTTTATTGGTTAACATTACATGAAACTGTCATGTGGTTGGTTTTGACATTGGCTGTATTATAACTGTGCCATAAATATTTTTCTTGACCTCAACTACAGTGGTACAAAATGGTTTCTTAAGTTTGATAATTAATCTGCTATATCATGTTTATGACAGGTTGTGTTGTCTTAGTAATGTCAAGTTGTCTTGACAAAGACACTGACAGGTTATGATGTATTGGTTTATGTCAAGTTGGCAAACTTCATATTTGCATTAAAAATGTCATAACTGAGCGAATGACACTTTAAGACAGTTGTCATAAACATACATAAACCCTACTTCATATTCATAACATATGTCATGTCATGGTTACGAAGGTGTCATGCCAGTCTTATGCACAGTTACCCTATATTGTAGTCTCTTTTTTTTACATTCCCATACCATGACAGACAGATACACTCTCAGAAAAAAAGGTACAAAAGCTGTCACTGGGGCTGTACCTTTTCAAAAGGTACACTTTTGTACCTTAAGGGTGCATATTAGCACCTAAAATGAACATATCAACACTTAAACTGTACATATTAGTACCTGAAATGCACATATTAGCACCTAAAATGTACATATCAAAACTTAAAATGTTCATATTAGTACCTGAAATGTACATATTAGCACCTGAAATGTACATTTTAGCAGGTGAAATGAACATATTAGCACCAAAAATTTACATATTAGCACATAAAATGTATATATTAGCACATAAAATTTATATTAACACCTAAAATGTACATATTAGCACCTGAAATGTACATATTAGCACCAAAAATGTACATATTAGCACATAAAATGTATATATTAGCACATAAAACGTACAAATTAGTACCTAAAATGGACAAAAGTGTACCTTTTGAAAAGGTACAGCCCCAGTGACAGCTTTTTTCTGAGAGTGTATAAGCTGTGTGATGAGTACTGGTTAATTGATTCAGGTCAGGATAAATGTGGGTTAATGAGTTAGTACAGAAGCTGCAAAGAAACGACTGCATGATGACTAATTTGTGTCTGTAATTAATGCATAAAACGTTAAAAATTAGATCCGTTGAACAGGGCTCGTGAATAATCTTCTGCACAGTTTGAAAACCCATTTGTTTTAAGAAACGCTTGCCAATGGTTGTGCAGGTGGCCTGTGCATGTGAAAGGGCAGCGAGACATCTGCCTTCTTCTAAAAATAGTTGGTGTTTGACATGGTTTATCTTTCTTTACTGTACATAGTCACAGGCTAGATTAGAAACCACATGTGAGGTCAAAAAATCTTTAAATATGATTTTTGACTCTTGATGTCAAGACTAATGTATTTTCTGTCTTTTTTCTGCAAGATTCTCACAATGTAATCTCCAATATCTGGTGATGACAATGCAAGAAGTGTCAAGCCAGGTCAATCCTGCATCAGACTGAAGGAACTGGGCAAACGTATTCATCATGAGCAACCAGGAGAAGCGTCACAGGACAACCATGCAGCACCTCCGCTATCTCGATAGCTTTATGAATGAAATAGACCGTGAGGTCATGAGCCTGACGGATCGAGCTTTCAAGAGTCTGTGCATTGGGGACGAAGCCATATACAATGACTCAGAGTTTTCCCCGTCTCCCGTCAGCTGCCACAAGCCAGTGGTGGAGGACGTCTCAAAAAAGACTCAGGAGAGTTCATTTTCTGCCGTCAAAAAACTTAATTCTCACCCCCTTAACGGAGCGAATGATTTATTGACTGGATCGTCCAAAGACTCTGCACTTTTTGCCGTATTTTCAGCCAAAAAGAATGGCGAGAGCACCAAGATGACAAATGGTGATTCATGGGACAAATCTGCTCTTCTCAGCATCCAAAGAGAGCTCTCTGAGTTTTCCTCAGATTACCAGAGATTAGCGGCGGAACATCTTTCCCAAGCCAAGAATCACCTAAAATCAGATGAAAAAGTCTCCGCCAAAAAGTCAAGCAAGGATGCATCGCTTCCCTCTGGAAAATCCAACAAACTGAGCAAAAACAACAAACTGAGACAACTGAATTCCATCAACTTTTTCCTGCACAGTGAATTCAGCCCGTTCTTGTCATGGAGGGATTTTAATAGATTCCCCATTGGCCAGGAGCACATATCGGAGATTATCGTAAGCGATAGGCCACCTGAATGGTATGATTTACCTCTCTACAAAGAATTAACTGCAGCACATGGACACTTTAAGTTAAGTTTTCCCCCATCAGAGGAAAAAGAAGTCGAAAAGTGTCCTATACAAAGTGAGACTCGTTTGCTCGAACCACAGGTTGCGTCTGTACAATCTTCAGTAGCCCCAAAGCCAGAGAAAGAGTCCAAGCACAATATACCTACAAAGGACCCTCCTCTTGCCTCTGAACAGAGATGTAATTCAGAAAGGGCAGAACCGTGCGTTCCCTGGAGAAAAAGCAGAAGTAGAGCAAAAAGTGCCGCTCCTGTGGGACATTCCATCAACTCCGTTTGTGAGAGGACAAGAACTGGAGAAAGGAGCGCACAGGTGTTTAAAAACGAAGTGAAGACAATAGAGGACCAGACCTCCGCTAGTTCCACCCCTTTCAGTATTTCACAGCTGTTGACACCAGTGATACCCTCCAGATATGGGACGGGAACTTCAGACATGCTCTCGCCCACTGCCTTTGAGGTCCCACTACTCCCGGAGAGAGAAGTGCATCCGTCTCCTGAGATTAGGAGGGAGGGGTACAAATCCATAGCGTCAAGCTTGTTGTTCAATCTCAAAGACAATAGAAAACGGGTTAAGACCATGTACAGTCCACCAAAGTTTAAAGGTCTGGATGTGGGAAATCAAAGCAAAGAATCCCCCCAGCCAAAAGACGGCTTTGAAATACAACTTGAAACTATTTCACCCGCTAGTCAAAAAGCCATCATCTCTCAGATGAGTCCTTTATTGGAAACTGCAGACACTCAAACTTGCTCTCCCGCAAATGGCGGGATGCCAGACGACTATTTGGCATTTAGTCTTCTTCAATCTGGAACGTTAAAATCCAACAGGAGCCCCGGAGCTAACAAGGCAACTTACCCCTCATTACAACTTTACAGAAAAACTACTCCTGAGGAGATCAATAGTAGAGCAAATGCTCAAACTGTGGTGGAAACAAGCTCACAGGTTTTCACAGATAAAGCCAGCAAAGATCATGGCACAGAGCATAGTTATCCAAGTAAAGAGTTGCAAAGCAAAAACAATCCCTTAGAGTCGACGCGAAATGCCCCTAAACCCACTGTAGAAAGATCTCTTGAAAACAAATCTGGGAAAAGTCCAAGTGTACGTTTACCAAACCTGGAGCAGCAAGTCTTTAGCGATGGTACTAATCAAATGAAAACTAGAGAACAGAAAAGCCCTGTTAAAGAGAAGGAACCACCGAGAAAGGAGACAGGAGCAAAGCATGTCTTTTCCGCACGACAGAACAACTACATTAAAAGTCAGAGATTTGTGAGTACAGATGATGATAATCACAATGATTCTAATGCAGAAAAAGGGACTATAAGGGATAGCAAGTGGTCAAGGCATTCCAAAAATACAAAAACAAAAGAGAAAAGACAAGAGGAGCATATTGCAAACATACATAAAGATAAAGTAATGGATGGACCACTATTGAAAGAAGGGGGTCAAGTAAGAGGAGAGGCTAACACAGCTAAAGAGCTAATTATGACATCAAAGAGTGGTTTGGAAACTCAAAGAGAGCAAAAAGGAAACTCTGAAAAAATTAAAAGAAACATTAAATTATTTGCATCAATGGAACAGGCACCTAATAAGACAAATGCACCATTAAAGAGAGAGAATGTTGTCATCGATAAGTACGACCTGGCCAAAATGGCTTTAGAGGAAGTAATTGCTGAACGAGAGCAAAGAAAGTTGAAAAGTAAGGCTCAAGGTGGTGAGTTACCCACCAGTGGAGAGGACCAACAGTCTAGTGTGATCAGGGAGAAAAGTGCCAAGGATGGAAAAGGTCAGAATACTGTATCTGCTTTTAAAACAAATTGGCAGACTGGTCAAACGAGGTCAGAAGACATGGCCAAACATGGTGAAAGTCATGTGGCTGAGGTAAAATTAGCCAGGCCCTGTACGCAGGAAGCATCTATTGGGCAGTCCCAACAAGCAGGACTTATAAAACATAATGAAAGAGACAAATTGTGCCTAGACAATCAAGAAAGCAACACAGATAATACCAGCAAGGATGGTCAATTATGCCAAAAGATAGAGTTGGAATGCACAAAAGCAGGTGATCATTTGAGTAGTAGTGTGGGACAGTGTGAGGAAGAGTTGGCCGTTAGTTCCTTTAAACCTGAGATACCCCCAAGAAGAGGGAGAAGTAATTCTCATAATAATGACAGAGTTGGTGAAAAGACAGTAAGTCATTCTGACTTTAAAAAAGAAGGGGACACTACAGTCAAAACTAAGGACAAGGAAAGTAGGGAAGTTGACAAAGTTCAGTCAAGTCAATCAAAGAATCGAGGCCCCAAAAGAGGAAATGTATTGTCTCTGAAAGAGAAATATGACAAAGAAAGTAAGGTGAACCTCAAGGATGCTCAGAAAGGTACGCCCGTTGAAGATACCAAGTCAATGGAAGAGGGACCTAATGAAAAGGCGCCAACAGACAAAATGAAACATAAATTTATTCCACCAAAACTCACAGTTAGTGATCCCGAAAGTGGGACTTATTCCATTATCTACAAGGAGATGGATTCAGAGAGTGAACGGAAGTCAAAAGATGTCACACAAGAAGCTACACATGATCTCACAAACAACATAACTGAGGAAATGGAAGACAACAAGGTACAAACGAACGAGAAGGAAGAGGCTTCTGAAGGTCAGAAGCAGAACAAATCCAAAGGTCCTAGTAAAAGCTATGTAAAAGACTTCTTCAGTGGATTTCTGTTTGGACTTTCAAGCTCAGAAAAGGGAAAACCTGTAGATGAACATGAGGACCTTTCTGAAACACTGTCATCGGAGTCTTTTAAAACTGATAAAGCCAGAAAGGACAGTATCACAGTATATGATATCCTTGGGCAGTCTCACACTATATCCTCATTGAATGGTAAACAAACACATCACAGCAGCCGATCTTCAAACTCAAACTCAAGTGAGCTTTCTCCATTTCATGAATCAGAACTGGGGGCAAAACCACAACCTGAAGAGTTCTTGAGTAAAGCAGACATGAAAGAAAGAGTTGATGGAAAGGTGAAACCAACAATAGATTCCTGCTCTTTAAGCAACCCTGAAAGTGAGTCTGATGTTTCTCCACCGAATGATGTGGACAAAGGTGGATGGGTGCACAACTTGATTGAGTCAGCTAGAAGCTTAACACAAATATCACCCAATCATACTCAACTAAAAATAGATCAACAGCTTCCTCTGAAGAGCCACTTGAATGAGGAAGGTCTGGACCTCTGCAAGGACTGTGTCCATTCCCCAGTTGGATCAGTCAAGAGCCCCACAACAAACCCACCAGCAATGCATTTACTGTCCCTTCCAGTTACAGTCAAAGTTGGAAGTGGCTCTGTGTCTGAAGAGGAGGAGCAGCGCTCTGCTGTGAGCACTTTATCTGAAGGCCTGGAAAGCTATGAAACATGCGGAGGGGATGCCATGGAGGAAAAAATTGCACCAGTAGAGGATGAGGAGGGATCCAAGGCACCCAGCGAGAGATCTGCTTCAGTCTGCAGCGGAAATGACAGTAATGGCCAGAGCAAGCCACCTGTTGTACCTCCAAAAACCGAAAAGGCTCTCCGCCGAGCCATGAAACTCACCACACGGAGGATTCAAAAGGCTGAAGCTAAAAGCAAACCTGAGCGTAAAAGCAGAAGCAGTGACAAAAGTGTCAGTCACAAGACCGAGAGGAGACACCACAGCACTGATAAATTACTCGACAGATCAGAAAACAGATCGCTCAGCAGCGATGGTAAACACAGCGAACATCTCAATGAACCCAAAACTCAAAGAAGCGAGAAGCCTGCTAGACACCATAGTGGCCTCAAGAGTCAAAACATAGAAGAGACTGAACCTAGTAAAAAACTACAACACGCATCCAAAGACAAAGAAAGACAAACCAGTACTGAGAAACAACAAGACGGCACAGCAAACCACGGGGATCATTTGGGGAACGGCATAAGTAATGACTGTGATCGATTAGGTCGAAGCAATGAAAAACGCTTGCCCAAGAAACTGGAACGTAGGACTCAAAGTTTGGATCGATTTCTAAGGGAAAAACACCAAAACATGTCAAGTCGCACTGGTGGTGAAGTTAAATCGAATTTTTTAATAGAGGGATCCCAGTACTCGACTCCAAAGACATGCATTGAACAAACGTATGCACCAACCACTAACCTTGTAACACAGTCCTTCCCAATCACCCAGAGAAAGCTTTTACAGGACCCTGACTCTGGACAGTACTTTCTGGTGGATATCCCAGTACAGGTCAAAACGAAAACTTTCTTTGACCCGGAAACTAAAAGTTACGTGCAACTTCCGGTACAGTCTCCCGAGGCTTCCCCAATGGAGGTGATGAACACGCCACCACTTATGCTGTATCATGGCTTTGTTCCAGTGCCTGTACCCTCACAGAAGTCTAGAAGGTCTATGAATCCTCCGGATGACCTGGAAGACTTTGAATCTAGCAGGAAACAAATGCAGGAGGACTTTTATCAGATAAATAAGGAAGAAGGAAATCCTTACATTGAGCCAGTGTATATATCACAAGAACATACCCCTGAGGAGGAAATTGATAGTGTGAGATGACAACATTAGATCGAACGTGACTGAAATCAGGGATTTGTTTTGTGTGGTGTGATATGGAAAACGTTTTTTGTAGTATGTATGCTGTTCTTTGTTTATAGTACACGAGACGTGGATTGTACATGTTTATTTCTACTTAAAGTATGGCAAATACCTAAAAGCACTTGTCTTCGTAACATGAGGTTGAGATTTGGATTTGCGCCTTATTGAAAGTAGTGTTGCTTTCACAAAAATATTTTGATACATCTTGCATTCGAGGTTTGATAAATACATTAGTCCACGGTATGTTTCGCAGCCGAAAAGTATTGTAAAAATGAAGAAATTAACTTAGTTTATGTGTTTTATATGCTTACAATGGTATGTTTGACAAATGCTGATGGCATCACTTTTCAGGGTGCATTTTTGGAATGAATCCATTTCAATGGATTGTTGCTTCAGAAAAGAACCATTCCAATAAAAGCATCATCAATGAGCAATTGTTTAATGATCTAATTCTGATTATCTTGCTGTTTTGATCCAAAGACGGTTCATATCCAATTCAGTTTATAGGCTCAGAAAGAAAGCCAGAGTTCAGAGTTCACTTTAAAAAAAACTTTTGCTGATAATTTACTCACCCCCATGTAGGGTTGGGTATCGTTTGAATTTGAACGATTCTGATTCCGATTCCGATTCCTTGTTTCGATTCCGGTTCCTAACGATTCTCGATTCCGATTCTTTTAAGAGGCAGGGTCAAAAAAGTTTAGCTAACCTTGCTAACCAACGGCCTTTCTGGAGGAAATACTCCTTCTGTAAAAATACTCCTTTTGTCACAAATTTTGCCGAGATTTCGTTATTTTTAAAAAAGTGAAGCCACACTTTGGATCGCCGACATAAGGTACTCATGTTCGACTCGCGTGGTTATGCCAACACTTGCGGTAGACGCTTCTTCGTTGGTGTTGTTCAGCGGTTTCTTCTTCGGCTCGGCGGACTGTGAATATCGAAACTAGGAATCGAAATTTTAACTTTTGAACGATTCCGGGAAAAACGAAAAGTTAGTCTCGGTTCCAATCGATACTCGATTCTCGATACCCAACCCTACCCCCATGTCATCCAAGATATCCATGTCTTTCTTTCTTCAGTCAAAAAGAAATTAAGGTTTTTGATGAAAACATTCCAGGATTTCAATGGGAACCAAATGGTTCAAGGTCCAAAAGACAGTTTCAGTGCAAACTACAAACTGTTCAAAGGGCTTTAAACGACACCAGACGATGAATAAGGGTCTTATCAAGCGAAACGATCGCTCATTTTTTAAAAAAAAGCAAGTTTTATAAGCTCAAATGCTCGCCTTGCTCTGTTCTGTGATGCGCGTTCGTGACTCTCCTGTTCGAAGTCGTTTATCAAAATGAACAAATCTTTTTTCACGTCATTTGGTTCATTCAATGAATGAAATGAACGAGTTTACTCGGGATTGAACAGGAGAGTCACGAACGCGCATCACAGAACAGAGCAAGGCGAGCATTTGTGCTTATATAACTTAATTTTTTTTTTTAAATGAGCGATTTTTTCGCTAGATAAGACCCTTATTTATCGTTTGCAATCGTTTAAAGCCCTTTGAACAGTTTGCATTTTGTTCTGAAACTCTCATTTAGACCTTGAACCGTTTGGTTCCCATTGAAGTCCATTATATAGAGAAAAATCCTGGATCAGAAACCTTAATTTCTTTTCGACTGAAGAAAGAAAGACATGGACATCTTGGATGACATGGGGGTGAGTAAATTATCAGCTAAAGTTTTTTTTTTTTTTTTTTTTTTAAAGTGAACTTCTCCTTTAGATAGGAAGAGAGCATCTGATTGACACTGTGGCACAGTGACCAACCATGACCACATGCTGTTTAATCCCACTGGGTTATCTGAAATAGACTGCACCAAAACAACAACAACCCAGCATTGGAAAATGATTTCAAATAATGGTGGAAAAAACATTGAGAAATACCTGAATTTTTGTCCATTCAAAAGTCATACTTGCTGATTATTTTTTATGCAACCACCTAGTGGTGAATAAGGAGGTTTGCAAGTGTCTTCGCCTGCTAAAACTGCTGAAAAATTTGGGTTGCAACATTATTTGGTATTTGTCACGACACACATCATTGGCTGAGAAAATAAAGGAACTTGCCGTTGTCTGACAATATGCACGTCTATCCCAGGATGACCAACTATTACAATATATGTACTGGAAGCACAAACTTTAAGCCTAATATGTTACAAGCGTAAAGGGATAGTTCACTTTGAAATTAATTTAGCTCTAGGGCATCCAAGATGTAGGTGTCTTTGTTTCCGCAGTAGTTTCAATTTTGATATTTTTAGGTCAAACCGTTCTTGTCTGTCAGTCATATAATGGAGGTCTATGGTCACCACCTCAAAGAGCATGCACAGAGAAGTCCAAATTAAACATGATTTACTGACTCGTGAATGTAAATACAAATAAATGGCCTAAGACACTCAACAAGCGGTTTGTGTGAGAAAACGAACACTGTTTCTATCTTTTTACCTCTTGTAACCACAACCACAATGCACCCGCGCCCTCGGATCACTTGGACGTGGCTGTGGTTACAAGAGGTAAAAACGATATAAATACTGTTCGTTTCCTCACACAAACCGCTCGTTTCGTGTCTTAGGCCATCAGTGTGTATTTACATTTACGAGTCATTAAATCATGTTTAATTTGGACTTCTCTGTGCATGCTCTTTGAGGTGGTGACCATAGACCTCCATTACATGACTGACAGACAAGAACGGTTTGACCTAAAAATATCAAACTTAAAACTACTGCGGATACAAAGACACCTACATCTTGGATGCCCTTGAGGTAAGCTAAAACATATCAAAAATTAATTTCAAAGTCAACTATCCCTTTAATAGAGTTAGAGGTAGAGCTCTTAAAGTCTTAAAAGGTCATTTTCCAATCACAGTAGTTTGCTAAATGAGGTAGATCTGTTTGACACTTATAAAAGACATTATTGTAATGCTTGCATTTAATATCTTTAATTTCGATATCAACTAAATGTACATTTGATTAAAGTTTGGCACAGTACACAGCAACATAAGTTTACATTTCGCCGTTTCGTATTTTAATGGCAGCCACAACTGCCCGCAACCATGTCGTTATACTGTTTTAGAACGACATTTTCCTCATCATCGAAGTACAGGAGGCTGATGGGGTGAAGCACGTCGGGAACACAGCACGGTTTCCCCGCATCCTGCGATAGTTTCAGCGCGTTCATGATGGCTCTCACGGTAGCGTGATTCGTAGCCCGTAGACCTTCGCCCAGTGGAAACGGACATGAGCCCATGCAACTGTACGCATTATAACCTCTGGGAGATATTATCCACCCCGACCAGCCGATCTTAGTGAAGTCTACGTAGAGGTTTGTTCTCTGGCATGTAGAAGATAAGGCACGCACGCTCCTGCGCTTCCGCATTGTTGACTTCATTGAACTTTCTGTAGGCTCCAGGGATTTAAAGGATGCGTTGATATTTTGTCCTAAAAGGGTCAACAATGACATCAGAACTTGATATATCACTCTTTATTATGTATTATAGTTAGTTATCATTCAATATACGAGTCTTTCTTCAACTTTAGTTCTTTTATGTCCCTAAGGTTTCTTATACGAATGTCACATGGAAACTTTTACCAGGACTTCATCAATAATTTATCAACTTTTAAGATGCCTCTTATTGTATTGTTTCACCCTGGTTGCAGACCCAGACTTTCAGTCTTAAAATATGAATATTTCCACCCATTTCTTATGCTATTTGAGATGTGATGGAATGGAAGTACCATTGTGGCTCCATGTATATCTATAAGTGTTTTAAGAAAGTTTATTTTCTAAAAGACCACTGAGCCAAAAGTATAGTCTAGAAAACAGCCATGTATTATACTTGTGTCTGGAGAATTTCAGTGTGTTTTTATGGCTTAATTACCTGTGTAGTACTTTCGTCCGTCATCTGAATATATAACCAGATATGCATTTGTCTCACGATCTGACTGCTTGTCCATCTTAATGGTGGACTCAAACCAGTTCCCTGAAGGTAAAGCAGTCACGACCAGGATACCATTATTTGTACCGCTGTGAAGAATCCATTTGGTCACCTGTTAATATTTTAGGAGTTATTTTTGCAACAGCAGCACGAACAAAATGATTACAATTTGTTTTCCTCTTCATATAGTATTTACCATTTGTGTGATGTTGAATACCTCCCATCCTTTGGTGTAGACAGGTAATAACCTTGAGCTTATCAAATTCCCTCGCCAAGGTTTAGGTCTGCTGTCCAGCACTTCATACAAGTCGACCTAAAACAGAGTTTTCTGGTAACGTTTTCTTACTTGAGACGAACATCAACAGCCTTGAACATTTCCTTCCAGCTAACAGTGATGCTAGCTAGCTTCTCTCAAAGTAATGATAAACATTCTTAATGAGGACATTTGTTCAAAGTTTGCAGGTCTTTGGTAGGCTAATGTTCTCAAAATGTTAGCACAAGAAAACATATTTCTATTCATGGAAAGTTTTTTTTTTTTTTTTTCCCGAAACAGTTGGATGTTCGTCTAATGTTTTTTTTTATTTAACTGTTAACTGATAACTTTTAAAACAAGTAACGTTCGTATGTTTTTAAAATTCTAAAATGGAATATACTTTTAACATATAATAGGCTATAATAATAATAAAAAATGACGTTGTGACTACGTAATCATAACGTAATCATAACTTAATGGGAACGTTAGCAAAACGTTCTTAGAATTGATCTGTCCGTTTCTTTTAAATGAAAAGCACATGAACATTTGCCTATGACTAATAGATCGACTTTAAATGGCCAACTTACTTTGTAAAAATGATGACGTCCCATAAACGGATGTTTACGTCGAAACCATCGGAATTCTGCTTTGATCACGCGCTCGTCCTGTCCGAATGATGTCAGATTAAAGTAGTGATATGAGCCGCTGGACTGTCCTAGATTAGAAAAAAAAAAATCTCAGCATTAGCTTAAACGTCCAGTGTAACATCAGCCATTTCACCATTTACATTTACCTTCGAAACTTCTCACAATATTCCCTTCCAGAACTTTCGAGTTTTTCAGCGTTCCGTTCGCGTCCGCAACGGCATCATATAACTCCATCATGAACTCAGGTGCCTTCCTATTGGTCGCAACATTGCGTGTCAAATCTTTCATCTGCAATATTTCATTCCAGATGCGCATCTTAATTGCCTTTGTGATCTTTTGCACATCTGTTGAGGTGGAAATGACATCGGATGACACAAAAGCAAAAATCCCAAAGAGATAAATGTTCACTAACTTCATTTCTGACCGTGCAGATCTTAATTTAACCAATGCAACAACCCGAATATCCCCTTAGTATAAATGTGCACCTGCTGCAGATGGACTGGTGTGACAGTGCATTCAAACCAACTATAAATTTACATCTCAGTTTACACAAGGGCTTGTATGCTCACAGATAAGAGTGAACAGACAGCCTTTCAGCTCAAACATCATGACTAAAGTTAAATAAACTGTCTGCCTCATATTAATAAATCAGATACAAACAGCATGCCTTTTCTCTTCTTAACTTACCTTTCATAAAATGTGCATTCTTTGCTTTTGTAAATTTAAGTCATATAGAACATTTTTGCTCATGCCATCTTCACAAATTCCATTTTTTTATGTTTATGCAAATGCATCATTTAGAGTTTAAGGGCATATTGTTGAATATTTCAATAGTGTATAAGCTGTAATATTTGACAGCTTTATTCACCATTGAAGGTGTGCTGGATCTGGTTTTTAGACGTCATTCGAGGATAACATCAATGAAGAGACAAATGTTGGAAATTGCTGCATGTCCGTGTTGGTTTTAGCAGGTTGTTGTCTGTTATCTCTGCACAGCCAGATCCTCCGCAGTGACAGAAGCAAACGCAATGACATGACTATGACGCAAATGGAAATGAAGATTTACTCACATTTGCCCAACGCGTGTTTGCCCTTCATGCTGACATTTTCTGTAAGGCATCTGTGTGTATTCACATGATCCTCATTCAAATATAAGTTCAACTTTAAAGAGTTTAGTTTTTTTTATTTTTATTTAAATAAACATTAGTATGTCCTATAGATGGATAGGCTATAAACTATACAATTTATATAAACTTTATAAGGGTCTGCACCTGTGATTTTCTGACTGTGCACTGCATATATATATATATATATATATATATATATATATATATATATATATATATATATATATATATAGACTGTAAAAAAATATTGATGGTTTAACTTAAAAAAGTAAGTAACCTGGTTGCCTTAAAATTTTAAGTTCGTTGAACTGGAAAAAGTGAGTTAATACAATGAAGGAGATTAATTTAACCATCAGAAACTCAAAATAATATGTTATCTGAACTGAATAAATTATTTAAGTTGATTTGACAAAAGAAAAAATGTTGTGATTACTACGCTGTAAAAAATATTGTTGGTTTAACTTAAAAAAGTAAGTAACCTGGGTTGCCTTAAAATTTTAAGTTGATTGAACTGGAAAAAGTGAGTTAATACAATGAAGGAGATTAATTTAACCATCAGAAACTCAAAATAATAAGTTATCTGAACTAAATAAATTATTATAAAGTTGATTTGACAAAAGAAAATGTTGTGATAACAAATCTTGAAAATATTTATATGTATTTGACTCGTTTACATTACAAATAGGCCTATGTAAACAAGTCATTTTGCTTCTCAAGTAAATGTATCTTGATTTATAAATGCAGATTTTACTGAAAAACAGTTGTTTTGTAGCGTGGTGACAGTTCAATGGATGCAGCAGCACATCAGTTTGAATTAATTCATTTATTTACAGTAATGAAAGCTACTTACAGTATATATGTACAATAACTGACACAGCATTTTTTGTATCGATTGTTTTTGCCCTATATATACCAAGTGATTATTTCTTGATTCATTCAATTGAATGTTTGTTTTGCCGGCTGTTTTGTCCCAATATCCGTAAGAATCATTGAGGGAACAGATTTGTATAAATGAATATAGCATTGGATGAACAATTATCTTTTCAATATAGCTGACATGCTCACAAAAGTATGCACAAAAATGATATAGTATATTAGGGATTGGATATATTACGATCAGTTTCCTCCTCTAGATGGCGCCGATGACTAAGGAAACATCTTTCATCTCAACACATCTGCAAGCGCTTGCTTCTTGGCTCTTTACAGCAGCCTGGGCATATTTGCAGTGAAATGTATTACTTAATACTCAATGCTTCATACATAAGTACCCGAGCTGCCTCACAATTCAGTAGTTATTAAGGACAGGTATTTTTGAGTCCATACATTTCATTGCGCAAACTGAAAGCACCCCTGCTATTATTCCCCATTAAAAAATATATTGTTCAGAGTTTCAGATTCCATCTGCTGATTATATAGAGAATTGCATAAACATTTTGACAACAGTCTTTTGGAGATCTTCATAAAGATGAATGAGCTGTTGGAGGATTTGAGGAAAGGTGAAATTCTTGGCCTGTTGGACTTCTGTAAACTGTGTTCCTATTAATGGCCTCCCCCTTTTGTTCAACATCTCTTTGGGTCCTAAAGAGAACAGATGGAAGAAATTAAACAAGCACCGAGCCATCGCCGCTGCTGTTCTATTAGATATCTGAAGAGAAAATACAATTATTGCTAAAGTGGAAACATACCACTGGGGGATTATGGGAGGCCGGGTGTTTTATGTTTTCAGAATGATTGAATTTTCTTTGACCCGGGGGTGAAGTGTTTAGGGCTGTTTGGGTTAAAGATGAGAATGGTGAACAGGTAGTTTACAGGAGCTGCTGTTTCATTGCTCATATCTCTGCCACTTATTTCTCATTTCCTCTTTTTGGATCTGTTATGCTTAGCAATTAGTCAGTTTGTTTAGAAGCTCTTCTCGCGGGTTATTTTCTTGAAACATATACAGGTTTATTAAGTTTCTATGAAAAGAATTGTTGATGGTAATTGATCAAATGGGTAACACTTTATTTTGATGGTCCACTTTAGACATTCTACTAACTATAAGTAACTTTGCATGTCCACTAATCATTAGTACGGAGCCCCTCTAGTCCCACTTTGGTAAAAAAAAAAAATTAATTATAACTATCTTGTGGCCTCAAGATAGTAACTCGTGGCCACAAGATAGTAACTCGTGGCCTCAAGATAGTAACTCGTGGCCACAAGATAGTAACACGTGGCCTCAAGATAGTAACTCGTGGCCACAAGATAGTAACTCGTGGCCACAAGATAGTAACTCGTGGCCTCAAGATAGTAACTCGTGGCCTCAAGATAGTAACTCGTGGCCTCAAGATAGTAACTCGTGGCCACAAGATAGTAACTCGTGGCCACAAGATAGTAACTCGTGGCCTCAAGATAGTAACTCGTGGCCACAAGATAGTAACTCGTGGCCACAAGATAGTAACTCGTGGCCTCAAGATAGTAACTCGTGGCCTCAAGATAGTAACTCGTGGCCACAAGATAGTAACTCGTGGCCTCAAGATAGTAACTCGTGGCCTCAAGATAGTAACTCGTGGCCTCAAGATAGTAACTCGTGGCCTCAAGATAGTAACTCGTGGCCTCAAGATAGTAACTCGTGGCCTCAAGATAGTAACTCGTGGCCTCAAGATAGTAACTCGTGGCCTCAAGATAGTAACTAGTGGCCACAAGATAGTAACTCGTGGCCTCAAGATAGTAACTCGTGGCCTCAAGATAGTAACTCGTGGCCACAAGATAGTAACTCGTGGCCACAAGATAGTAACTCGTGGCCTCAAGATAGTAACTCGTGGCCTCAAGATAGTAACTCGTGGCCACAAGATAGTAACTCGTGGCCTCAAGATAGTAACTCGTGGCCTCAAGATAGTAACTCGTGGCCTCAAGATAGTAACTCGTGGCCTCAAGATAGTAACTCGTGGCCTCAAGATAGTAACTCGTGGCCTCAAGATAGTAACTCGTGGCCTCAAGATAGTAACTCGTGGCCTCAAGATAGTAACTCGTGGCCTCAAGATAGTAACTCGTGGCCTCAAGATAGTAACTAGTGGCCACAAGATAGTAACTCGTGGCCTCAAGATAGTAACTCGTGGCCTCAAGATAGTAACTCGTGGCCTCAAGATAGTAACTCGTGGCCTCAAGATAGTAACTCGTGGCCTCAAGATAGTAACTAGTGGCCACAAGATAGTAACTCGTGGCCACAAGATAGTAACTCGTGGCCACAAGATAGTAACTCGTGGCCTCAAGATAGTAACTCGTGGCCTCAAGATAGTAACTCGTGGCCTCAAGATAGTAACTCGTGGCCTCAAGATAGTAACTCGTGGCCACAAGATACTAACTCGTGGCCACAAGATAGTAACTCGTGGCCTCAAGATAGTAACTTGTGGCCTCAAGATAGTAACTCGTGGCCTCAAGATAGTAACTCGTGGCCTCAAGATAGTAACTCGTGGCCACAAGATAGTAACTCGTGGCCTCAAGATAGTAACTCGTGGCCTCAAGATAGTAACTCGTGGCCTCAAGATAGTAACACGTGGCCACAAGATAGTAACTCGTGGCCTCAAGATAGTAACTCGTGGCCAAAAGATAGTAACTCGTGGCCTCAAGATAGTAACTCGTGGCCTCAAGATACTAACTCGTGGCCTCAAGATAGTAACTCGTGGCCAAAAGATAGTAACTCGTGGCCTCAAGATAGTAACTCGTGGCCTCAAGATAGTAACTCGTGGCCTCAAGATACTAACTCGTGACCTCAAGATAGTAACTCGTGGCCACAAGATAGTAACTCGTGGCCTCAAGATAGTAACTCGTGGCCTCAAGATAGTAACTCGTGGCCTCAAGATAGAAACTCATGGCCTCAAGATAGAAACTCATGGCCTCAAGATAGTAACTCGTGGCCTCAAGATAGTAACTCGTGGCCTCAAGATAGTAACTCGTGGCCTCAAGATAGTAACTCGTGGCCACAAGATAGTAACTCGTGGCCTCAAGATAGTAACTCGTGGCCTCAAGATAGTAACTCGTGGCCTCAAGATAGTAACTCGTGGCCTCAAGATAGTAACTCGTGGCCTCAAGATAGTAACTCGTGGCCTCAAGATAGTAACTCGTGGCCTCAAGATAGTAACTCGTGGCCACAAGATAGTAACTCGTGGCCTCAAGATAGTAACTCGTGGCCTCAAGATAGTAACTCGTGGCCTCAAGATAGTAACTCGTGGCCTCAAGATAGTAACTCGTGGCCTCAAGATAGTAACTCGTGGCCTCAAGATAGTAACTAGTGGCCACAAGATAGTAACTCGTGGCCACAAGATAGTAACTCGTGGCCACAAGATAGTAACTCGTGGCCTCAAGATAGTAACTCGTGGCCTCAAGATAGTAACTCGTGGCCTCAAGATAGTAACTCGTGGCCTCAAGATAGTAACTCGTGGCCACAAGATACTAACTCGTGGCCACAAGATAGTAACTCGTGGCCTCAAGATAGTAACTTGTGGCCTCAAGATAGTAACACGTGG